CCCCAAGTCCAATGGACTTGGCCAAGTCGGGTGGGTCGACTTGGCCAAGTACCAGGTACTTGGCCAAGGTCCTCCAAGTCCCTGTTCAAGTTCATGCCCAAGTTCACTGTGAGATGTATTGAATAAAGATGATATGCATGGAAGTAAATCAAAGGACAGCTGCTCTTGATCAAGGTCAAGTGTACAATATTTGTTAGTGGGTGCAGCGGCGGCAAAAAAAAATGCCACCACAGGGAATTGAACCAGCAACCTGCAATTTCAGTGTCCAACACAGCATGTTCAACCACTACACTACAGAAGCTCACACTATAGCATAGAATAGCAGCCATATATAGCGCTCTTTGCTGGACTCCGAGAAATTCTTCACCATCCTCTCCTGTACCATAGCAGAACTTGGACATCCACCACTGATACCACTATTCTTGAGCATTATCTGGATATTGTACCTCTGTATCACTACTGAAACAAGCACATTGTAACAACCTAAAGTCTTCTATCACATGTTATTGCCCTTGTTCTAATAGACTATAAAGCTGCTTCTACAGCCTTAAAACAGACTGGTTTACGACTAGTGTATGGATGTCTATGATAGATATTATTACATAAGAAGTATACAAGATGTGTGACTGATAGAACACCAATTGCTCAAATTGAGGCCTGAGTATACTGAAGTCAACATGTAAAGTCTAAGTTGTGGCCCAAGTACCCCAAGTACCCCAAGTATATAGACTTGGGTCAAGTCCGTGTACTTGGGACCAAGTACATGGACTTGGGGCCAAGTACACAGACTTGGGGCCAAGTACACAGACTTGAGGCCAAGTACACGGACTTGAGTCCAAGTACATGAACTTGGGCCCAAGTATGGGTCCAAGTCCGTGACGTTTTCCTGATGCTTTCTGCCGCCTCCACCGTTCTCGTTGACGTAGGAAACTCGGAACGCTCGGCTGAGCCACCATACGTCCTTGACATCGTCCCGGTGCATATAGCCGTAGGTGATCACATGCATGAGCTCCAACGACGTGATCGCAGAAGCGAGTCGAGATGCAACGTCCTCGAACGGAAGGTTCCGCACAGTGCATAGAAATGTTTCGGAGAGCGGCTCGAGACGCTGGCCTACGCTATCGTCGTCCTGGAAACGGATGCAAAAGCTGAGGCTGAGACACCTCAGGGGCAGATGCGCTATGGAGTATTTGAAGGTATCCTGCAACGACTGATTGGTGTAAGGTCATCGTCGATACATGGGTCACTCACGAGGAATTGGTCCCATTGGACGTTCTTGAGATAGTCCAAGTCCGCGGGGTACTCATCTTTGTGACCATGAGAGTACCTCAAGATGACCGTGAGGTGGGTAAGGGCGGTCCCCAGCTGAGGCGGAAACAGCCCGTCGAAAACCGAAAGACCACGTTCGAGCTCTATACGAAGAGTAAGCTGACGAGGAGAGCTGTCGCGAAGGGCAGTGGCGACGTAGTCTCTGGTCTGAGCAGAGCAGTCGATGATCTTCGCGTGGCGTATCGGACACTGGAGGCCGAGAGCGAAGAAGATATGCGCCTCGCAGGAGACATAGTCGAGGGCTACCCAACGATGGGACTCCTGCGCTCGCATATTCTCGTCTCGAACCAAACAAATGAGGGGGTCATCCAGGTCCCACCATCTTCGCCGGTCGTCCCGATCGTTGAAGGCTAAAGTACGATCTAATGCAGGGAATGCTCGCAGAAGACAAGCCAGTCGCGGAAGGCCCTCGGCATAGTTGATGATGAAAGACCGGAGCGCCGGATATTCAGTGACGACTTGGTGAACGCTGTGGTCATTGTCACCGAAGTCTACCCAGTCCAGGTGGAGCACTTCGAGGGTTGCGGCATGATGGCTTTCTTTCTTTCTTTCTAGATCCCGTTTATTGCCCTGCGAGGCCGCGCCTCATGGTAGGCCTTAAACTACAAATACTATCGACGTGAGTAAGAAGTGGGTGTTCGGCTGTACATGGTGAGCACAAGGCTCGAGCTAACTAGGGGGGTGTGGTGGGGAAGTAGCGGTGGCGAACGGGGCAAGGGGAAGTGCTAGGCGATGACCGGAAGGAGGGGTGCAAGGGTACACTAGTGGTGGAATGGTGAGTAGCAGGGCGCAGTACCTATGCGTTGTGGCCGCCTGTCCACCCTTGGCCAGTGAAGGCTAGGGTACGGGTTGCAAACCTGCCGCCCAATGGGTACGATTGCGTCCCTGGGACCCGCCTCTTGCTGCGGTCAGGAGTACGCCCGGCGGTATCCCCGCCGTTCGTCAGAACTCCCCCGCCCTAGAGCGGGCAGATGCCCGCAACGCATAGGTACAAGGGATCCATTGTCTCGGATACATGCATGACCAGCGGGTATATGTAGGGACACTGTATCGTACTG